CATCTACACAATATACATAGACATAAAATGTAAAAACTTAAATATCTTAGAAACAGTAGCCAATCAGTTGTTTTAATTGTCATATTTGAATTCAGCACATCAAAATACATAATAAATAGCACATTTTATCTCTGAAGCTGACGACTTCTCAAAAATTGTAGACCAGTGTAATAGGTGGTCAGTTGACATTATTGGACTGGTCAATTGATAGGCTTGCCCAGCCTACAGCTGTTAGATCTATGGATCAGACTCCATGTGGAATTTACATTGTAGAAATCTCAGTCTGGCATCACAGCCCCAATGTATTTCCTTTTCTGTGTTGTTTTTTGTTTTCTAGTATTCTAACTTAGTGAAAAGAAGGAGAAAATGAGACAAAAATCTAAAATGTAGGCAGAAGAGCAGAGGAGGGAGATTGATATGATGTGGAATTCACTAATATCAATTTGTATAATCTTGGTTTACATGTTCTGCATTCTCATTGTCCATAACTTACAGTGGCAAATAGAGAGAATACCAGGTTTTCCTGGTGCAAATTAAGTTTGGATGGACCTTGCTAATGCGGTAATACTCAGAGAGATGAGTTAAAGCCAACTTCTGTTACATAATGTTTTGAATAGAACTGGTTGGAAAAAACTGATTTGTCAAAACCAAAACTTTTTGAGGAAGTGTATTGGTTTTGACAAAAGTTTTGGGAAGGTTTCTCAGGGTTAGGATAAGAGAGCACAAGAGCTCCATTTTGTAATCCTGTATTACATTCCAAAGGCCCAAAGTATGTATGTGTATATTTAATAAGCAATTAAATGTTAAAGATCCAATTATTTTAAATCTCAGTTACTCTATATACAACATATACGGGAACATGGGTTCTGAAGTAGGGGTTGCGAGACCCATGAAATCCTTAAAAAAAAATATCAGCCACTGATGGCCTGGAATTGAATCTAATGGGCAGCTTTCTAAACCCACGCACATGACAATGCTGCTGAAAATAGTCTGAGAGCTTTTTGTGTAGCTGATTACAGGCTGTTCTTTCTTTCCTTTCTTCCTTCCAGAATACCCTTTGTAGGGTTGCATTTCTAATCTTATAAAATATGTCATGAGACTAAGCTTCCTCGGGTTGTTTAGTTATTAAAAGGACATGCACAGTTCATTCAACCTGTTGCATGCTTTGAGTTCCTTACTTTAGGCCCTGATCCTGCAAACACTTATGTAAATGAGTGAAGTTCCTTATGGGTGGTTCTGCTGAGGCTACTCTTGTGAGTAATGTGCGTAAAATTACGAAGGCCCCAGTCCTGCAATGAGCATCACATGGGCAGAACTCTGCACCTTCTTAGACCTTGCTGTAGGGTCCTGGCTTATGATTCCGATTTTACAAAAGGTTACTCAAGAGCTTAACTTTCTGCACTTCAATCAAGTAGTTCCAATGAAGTCAGTGGAACAGCTTGCAGTGTATAAAGCTAAGTACCTGCATAAAACTTCTCAGGTTCAGGGCCTTATTTAGCATGTTACACCATAATGCACCACAGGGAGAAACATAATAGAATTTTAAAGGTGACCTGCAAAGTAAAAGCAAATAAAGAACATTTGGTTTTGTTTCCTTCTTGTTTCTTGCACTGAAAAGATCTGAAAGGTTCTTGTTGTGCTTTTACTTTAAAGAGGTTTTAATATTAAGGAATGTCAAGGTTTTCCCTGGTTTGCTGAGTTGTGTTCACAACAATTTTAACCAGGGTAGAGAAGATCTGAATATCTAATATAAAAAACAAGCAAAGAAAAACACGTTAAACACCTTTCTGACCACCTTTATACATCACTAGCTAGAAATGACACATACTTTCCTCCTCTTTTAGATCGCCTTTAGTATTGCAAGATTAATTACTCAGAGGTGTTCACTGGGGGCAGAAAAGAGAAAAGTGGTACGTTACACAGTCAATTTGGAACCGAGTAAGTTTAACCAAGTGGAAAGTAGTGTCAGGTGCTGCATTAGCCCTGGAGTTTTGCTATTTTTGTGGTTTTACAACTACCGTTTAAAAAAAGATTTTCTCTCCCTTGTTACTGTGTGAAATTTCCATGCAAACAGGAGCGAGAAGTGAGTAAGGGTCTGATACAAAGCCCATTGAAGTGAGTGGAAAGACACCTAGTGATTTCAGTGGGCTTTTGGTCAGGCCCTAAATGACTTCACAAGGGCAAAGTGAGACTGACTATATACAGAATGCCACCAAATGCTCAAAGTAAACAGACTGAAAATATAGAGAATAGGGAAGAACTCCTCAGGTGGTCTAACTTGGTGTAGTAGCTACATTGATTGAGGATCCTGGCCCATTTAGGGGCAGATTTTCATAAGTGCTCATCAACCATGATTGGGGCCAGACTTTCCAAAGAGCTGAGGCCCCAGTGCAGCAAAATAAGCATGTGCCTGACTTTAAGAACAGGAGTTGTCAGTCCCATTGCCCTGTTTGTGTGCATAAACTTAGCTAGGTGCTTCAGTACTTTGCTCAGTGAGGGCCCTGGCTCCTGTTTGGACACCAAAACAAAGTGGCCAGACTTTCAAATACTCCCAGTATTCATCCAGGAACTGCTGGGAGCTGAGCTCTTTTGAAAATCTGTCCCTCAGCCTCTGATTTACAGTTCAAATTGCTTTAACCTTGTCTAGCTACAAGTTCTAGAACAAAGTGGTTTTTTTTGATGATTGTACCCCTTTAAGATAACAAGAGGAAATAAACATGTTTTCATGGTGTGCAAAGGTTGCTGGTAAATTCAGATAGTTCACTGTCAGAACAGTTTTTTTTTTCACTCTCACGTGGATTTTTACAGTACACTTTGATCCCACTCACCTGTCAGGGTTAAGTAATGTAAAATTTAAGCTCTGTGCATTTCCGAGAAGTATACCCCAACTGCCCATTGAACATCTTCTCTTGCGCAATGATCTGAACAAGCTTGCTGCTGCTACGGGAATTGTGGTTTTTTGTTTTTGTTTTAGTAGTGTAATGTTAGAAGTCATACAGCTGTAGATGGGATTATGAGTCTCTGCCCTGGATGACTGCATTCTCAAGTAGCCAAGCTTCCTTAGCTGAGGTTTTGATTGAAAGGTTCATTAGGGATTCCTTCCTACTCCAGGATCTCTGTCTGAACAGAATACTCTTTAAATTAATCACTTGCTGCTTTTCTTCCAGGTAGAGCAATGTTTCCTAGCATGAGGGCGGAGCCTCCTTTGGTGTATCAGACTAGTTGGTGGGAAGCATGAAAGTGTGAGTAAAAAAACTTAGGAACTACACTGTAAATGTTTTGTTGCACCCTCCCTTCCTATTCCCATTGTCTCTGCATGCTCAGGTGGATAGCAATAGGAGTAGCCCCAAGCTTCATTGCCTTGCTCCTGTGGCACTTGGTTCAGCCTTGTGTTGCACCGTTGGGAGCCTCCCTCCCCCGGAATACTAAAGCAGTGTAGACTTTTGGTGAGTGGGGGTATGGGGAGGGGGATCAGAATTAGCAGGGAGGACGTGGGGAGCAGGGGAGGGGAAGAGGAGAGACATGTAAAAGAGGGAAAAAAAGGCAAAGAATTGCAGAGCAAAGAGTAAAGGAGGGAATGTGAGAAAAGATGGACAAAGTGAGAGAGAACCAACTGGGTCGAGATATGTTGTGGGAGGTTTTGGCGGGTGTCCATCTGCCAGTCCATCCTGAGGATGGCCACTGAGCTGCAGCATTCACTCCTGTAGCAGAACCCTGTGGAAGGAGTGCACAGGAATCCGGTAAAATTGTGCCCAAGCAGGGAGAGTTTATTGGCCTTCTGACCTCTCAGTATCAATAGCCACATGGCAGGTACACAGAGGCAGCTGAGTGGAGGGCTGGCCATTCTGTATTCTCCTCCAGCAGGAGCCATGTTGTCTTTGGTAGAATCCTGGTGGGGTTTCCAGCAGCTATAGAGGAATCTCCACCAGCGGGAATAGGCCATGAAGCAATATTAACTTCTTATGGGATAGATCCAACCAGGAACTATTCCAGAGAGCATCATATCCCTAACACGGTTCCCTCCTGCACCTCTTTCTAGTTCTGCTCATGTAAATCTAGGAAAGCATGTAGGCCATAATGATGGAGATGGGTTGCCCTGAAATGAGGGCTTTAATCTCTTCCCAATAATTGCAATTCACAGAAATAAACATTAAGAGATTATAGCAGAACTAGCTCCTCTAGCTAACACTATGAGATAGTTTTCATTCAACTCTCTTGCTTCCTCACTCAGAATTTACTGCAACTTTCAGCTGAAATTTTCCAGTTTAGCCTCTGCCAAAAGTTACCTTTAAAAAAGAGTTTGAGCAAAAACTGTTCAGCCATTCTTGAATGTGAGGAGATGAAAAAACAATAAACACTTTTCTATTGTGGAAACATTCTAGCAACCTGGCCCTGTGAGCAAACTGGAAGGTAGCTGAACATTGGAACAAAACTCACAAAATGGCTTTGTTCAAGAGGAAATTGGGTTTGAGTGAGTTTTATGAGTTTTTGAAAATCATGTACTGAGCATGGGCACTGGATTTATTTATTTATTAAAATTACTGTTACTGAAGGAGTTTCAAGAAGAAGATAATCTCTATTATTATAATTGTTTACTGTGTATGGTCCGTTCTCCAGTATAGTTAGTCAGTTTCACATTTTTAGCTTGTTAACTATGTTGAAAGAGGTAAAGAAAACAAACTCCCGGATAGGAAATACGATTTTAAAAACTACCCAGTTTGGACACACACTTTAACTTTGACCCCATCCCCATGCAAATACTGTATATTAAAAAATAATATTTTGGAGATCCGCTTTCTTTTAATAAGGAACTGATACAAATGTTCTTGAACGTATCATTAATGTTTAAAAACACAATTTCTGCTGCTTGCACTTCAGAAAGCTCAGCAGACTGCTCAATTTGCCAAAAAATGTAATTTTCTAAATCAGAAAAAAGTTTTAGTTTTGGGATGTTATCCCTGTGTTGTTTTAAATCGGGGTTCTCAACTTGAGGGTCTTGACCACTTTGTCCATATGTTGCTAAATGGGAGGGAAGCAGATCTGGTCAAAAATGTGTTTTTGTTTTGTTTTTTTTTCTTTTGTTTTTCTCAAGATAAAACTTCAAAAAATTTTTCTAGTGGAATTTTGAATACTGAAAAATTGAATATGAAAATGGAAATGCCATCTTGGTGCATCATGGGAGTTGCCAGTTGGGTGCTTTATGTTCCAGTTCTCCTCTGTGGGCTGGGGTTCCTGGTTGTACTACATCTCTGATCATGGCTTCCCTTCTTGGAGAGGGGAGGTGGTATAGCATGGAAGACCCTGGCCATGGTTTACATCATGAGAGATGTAGTCCATCAGGGGAGCCCGGCTTGGAGAGAAGAACTGGAACATAAAGCCACCCAAACTACAACTCTTATGAGATACTATGATGGGGTTGACTAGGCTCAGAGGCTACCTGTTGGAGGCCTCAGGGTCCTGCAACACCCCGTCACAGAGAGGAGCAGAAGAGAGGTTCTCCAAGTGGCCTAGAATGGCTGCGGGGGAAGCAGCCAATCAGAGGACCTGCAGGGAGCAGCCAATCAGGGGATCATCAAACAACTATAACCCACTTTAGGCCTTCAAACAACCCCCCAACTTCTCCAGTGGCATCTGACCAGAACAATCGATGCAAAACCTGCAGACATATCTCCACTGCTACAATGATCAACACCCCCCCACAACACAGCTGTCAAGATCCATGAGTCTTACATATGCCTATCACAATGTGGTATACTTCATCCAGTGCACTAAATGCCCCACTAACTAAGTGGGTGAAACCAGACAATCACTGCACTCTTGAATGAACTCACACAGGAAAATTATACAAGACAAAAACACACTATCAGCTGTATCTGACCTATCAGCCGCCATTTTTTTTCCCGCTGCCCGCCCCCCCGCCTCCCGATATTTGATCTGGGTGATCTGGTCATCCTACTTTGCACTCCCTGGTATTGTCTAGAAGCTGTGATTTACAAGAGAAGCTGTTAGTAGTGAAACCTGCAAGTGTTGGAAATGGCCTGTGATATATACAGCCCTGTTTCAGAGATACATTTTATTTAGTATTTTTTAGGCTAAGAAGACAAACATCCAGCCCAAGCCATCAAACTTTTTTTGGTCACGCATCTGTAGTCTGCTGTGCCACAGTAAGCTATCACTGGCAATTTAGGTTTCGATTCAGCAATGCTCTTTTTCATGTGACTTGACTTCAGTGGGACTTAGGCACATGCTTAAATGCTTGTTTAAATCTGGACCTCAGTTTCTTTTGAATGTATGTGTAACCCTTCTGCCCCTCTGAGTTGGCAGCAACAAGGGCCGGGTTCAGTATCTAGGGGTTCTGTTTCAATAACACAATGCAAAACCGGCTTGAGCCCCCACCCAGTGACTTGGGACAATTACATACCACCCCCCCCCCCAGGCGCCTCTAGGAGGCAATACTTCCCCTCTCGCAAGCACGGAGTCTGAGTGTAGCAAAAACCTTTTAATAAAGGAGGGAAACAATGCGGCATTATGTTGGGGAAACACCACAAACAGGATTCATAACACAAACCATGAGCAAAAGACCCACCTCCAAGTAAATTTGGTAGTGTCCTTTTCCCCTCAGGGTCTTAAGTCCAATCACCCCAAAGTCCAACAACCCCAAAGTCTCTGTCCCTGGTCAGTGCCGCCCCAGAGTTCAAAAGTTTATCTGCAGAGTTTTACCCCCCTAGCCTGGGTGGAAATGGGTGGGGGGGCACACGGGATGTTAAGGGGCACCTTACGTGGTCCGAGGCCAACTGCCCCACCTCTCCGTGGAGTTCTGCTGCAGCCTTTACCATTAATGGCTCCGCTCTACCAGCCGCGTCACACGGCTCCACTCCACTCCTCCAGCCATCCCCGCAAACTGCTCCGCTCTGCTCTGCTCCCCATTCCGTGGGCCGCTCCAACCGTCCCACAAACTGCTCAGCTCTGCCAGCCGCTCCACTCCACCAGCTGTCCCATGAACTGCTCCAGCTGCCACCGCAAATGGCTCAGCTCCGTGCCGCTCCACTCGCTGTTCCATGGGCCGCTCCAACCGTCCCACAAACTGCTCGGCTCTGCCAGCTGCTTAGCAATATATCTTCAGGCTCCCCCACTGGTTAACACAGCACTCCATGATCTCAGCTCAGCAATTTTAGCTCTTTTAGTGATTTCAGCTCTTAGTGATTTCAGCTTGTAGTAGGGGAGCCCCAGGGCTGATGCACCATTGGCCCAAAGTGAATTCAGTTCAGCAACTTCTAGCTAGACTCCTAATGGAAGCAAACTTAGCTCTGCTATTCAACAGTGGAGAGAGGAAGGGGTAATGCAACTGGTGTTCCAGGCCCCCAAAAGGGGCCCATACCATCAGGTACACATCGTACCTATCCCCAACCTCTCTCAATTCACTGGGTTTTGTAACCCATGCCCCTTGTCTAGCAAGTGCTACTTAGTTACTGGTGAGTCCCTCTGTCATACAACAGTTCCACTGGCCTTGGTTCACAGAATCAGGGTAACAACACTTTATTCTTCCTGCCCCAATAACAGAGAAACTGGGGATCCCACACCAGCCAAAGTAACCACTTTCAGTTGTTGTCCCAGGCTAGGCGGGTGGTTGTGCCTATGCAAACAAGATCAGCCCCTGAAGTTCTTTTCAACCCTCACCATAATTCACCACCAGATGTCAGGGTAGAGCTTATCCTGACTCTGCTTACATCTGTTTATACCCACAGCAGAAATGCTCAGACATAGGTGTGTCATTGTAATAACTAGAAATGTTAAGAAGCATCATGCACAGATCCAAAGAATATCAAAGGGGACTGTAAATAATATTTACATTATTCCTTGCTTAAAACTTCTTTTGGTTTTTGTCTCCCTATCAAGTTGTTGTTTTTTTCCCAGTGCTCTCACACATTGATTTGTGACTGCAGGGATGCTCATTGAAAGCTGAGCTGTTGGCATTCAGACTCTCTCTCCTCCTCCCCCCCCCCGCCCCGAAAAAAATAATTGAAGTATTTGTTCTTGTTTGGGGAGATGCTTATCAGCAATTACTTGGACTTTGCAGATAGGTGGCTCATAGATTGCAAGGCCAGAAGGGACCATTGTGGTAGTCTGACTTCCTGTATAACTCAGGCAATAGAATTTCCCCAAAATAGTTCCTTTTCCTTTAATTTATGCCTTATTCAGTTTGACTTTGTCTAACTTCAACTTCCAGCCATTAGATCATGTT